CTTTTACTAAGACTTGCCCTAAATGTGTATTTTGTTAAGGATTAATATATATCATGAGCATAAGTAATATTTGAAATTTTTATATCTCATCCAATCTAAAGTGATAAGTTGTGTTTAGAAATAATGGCATAGTAAGTAGGTGCTGCAGTATCTAATTTGATTTAAAAGGTTTTTTGTTACCAAAATACTATATTATGGGACAATGCCTAAAAATCAATTATATGCTACACTTCCAAATCATAGGGGAAATTTTAGGAGAGTGTGCACATGGCACACTAAAACCAGTATAGAAATTCAGAATTTTACAAACTTTGGTTTTATCAACATCAAAATAACTATAATCTATATTACTGTTGAGTATTGGCATTTTCAGATGACAGGATTTTGATAATGTTATGTTATATGTTTTTACTTAAACTTTTTAAGAAAAACAATAGTGAAGAATAGTCATTTCTCCCCTTTGTACCATCAAATGGGATGTTCCAGCTTTTTGACCTGTCTGACACCACTTCCTATTAAGCTGAATGGCTTTGCATCTGAGCCTTGCTATGACAGGGCAGAAATGCTACCTCACAAAAGGACTGAAACTTGGGTCATTTGTGTGAATAAAGGTTTTTGCTAGGTTGTAGCTTTTTTTAATGGGGTTTCTGAAAAGATAGAGAGATGTGTAGAAAATGGAGTAAGTTCAGAGGAGAACCAAAGACAATGAGTAAGGCAATGAGAAATATGAGACCAGAAAGGTGGGAACCTTTGAGAGCTGTGCTCTTTTCAGAATGCAGTTTCTGCTTTTCACCATCACCCAGGTCTATGACTGAAATTACACAGGTAGATTAAGGTTAGGGAGGAGGAAAGTGCTGAAAGGATGTGGTTAACAAGGGAAAGCATGCAAGTTCCTCTGGGGTTCTTTAAAAATAGATGGTTCAATTTGGAGCCTCTAAAAGGTAAAGAAAGCAACCTGATAAAGTGTCTGACAGGTCAAGTGCAACTTTTCCAGTCAGTCTCAAAATGTCCTTACCCAGCATCACTTGGGCTGCCACTCACTCTCCTGCCCTGGGGAGTGCTGGACAAGAGGCAGTTCTTATTACCAGCTTCTGTCCATGGTGATGATCAGTTTTATGGAAGATAAAGGGCCATTCCCTTTAGGAAAAAGTCAGGAGCCCCTGGTCTGGAATGCAGGGTCTCTTCTAGCCTGGCTGCTCTGCGACCCTTTGTGATCATGTGATCCGGGTGAGGAAGAGCATCTGATGACATTCTCTTTGATTTATTTTTTGTTTAACCATTCAAAGTAATGCTTAACTGTTTTCTTTTTGGTCAGGGTTCTGCAGCATTCCAGACCTCAAGCACTGAATCAGGATGGGAAAAAGACGTTGTGTTCCTCCACTCGAGCCCAAGTTGGCAGCAGGCTGTTGTGGGGTTAAGAAGCCCAAGTTATCTGGAAGTGGAACGCATAGTCACGGGAACCAGTCCACAACTGTCCCCAGCTCTAGTTCAGGACCGCTTCAAAACCACCAGCATGTGGATGGCAGCAGTGGGCGGGAGAATGTGTCGGACTTAACTCTGGGACCTGGAAACTCTCCCATTACACGAATGAATCCCGCATCGGGAGCGCTGAGCCCTCTCCCCCGGCCCAATGGAACTGCCAACACCACCAAGAATCTGGTGGTGACTGCAGAGATGTGCTGCTATTGCTTTGACGTCCTCTACTGTCACCTCTATGGCTTCCCACAGCCACGACTTCCTAGATTCACCAATGACCCCTAGTGAGTAAAACACTTGGGTGGGGGAGACAATGAGAAGGGCATGATTGCATCTTTCTGGAACTGTGCTCTTGAGAGTCTGCTACCTAGAAACTACTTTACCATAATTGGGGCAAAGGGTAATGTGAATAAGGTGATGAGAAACGTCTAAACAATACCTAGACATTCACTGGATTCAGTAACAGAGAGAGACTAGTTGTGTTCGGAGGCGGTATATAGGCTTGTTAAATGTTCTGGAAGTTGGGATGTCATTCTCGGCTCTTTCGTGGTTCATATGTCAGTGGGTGGGTCATCCTTTCAAGTGGAGAGGTCACCCCATTGTGCACCCCAGTAGTGTAGAAATCCAAGTGAACTGGGAGTTTCTTAGGGCCCTGCTGGAGACTAGGGGTGCATCTGGTGGGAGTGCTGATAGTCACTATATTCCTTAGCATTCCCATAGCAATCCCACTACTGATCCCCTCTGCCCCAGAATGTCAGCATCTGCTTTACTGTTTTTAGTTCACAGTGATTGTTTTCCCCAAGTCTTCTCATGGTGTCAGTGACTTAAATAAGGAACGTGTATAAAGCATAAAGTGAAGAAACTCATGCCAATATTTTCTTCTTCCTCAGAATGGAAGCAGCTCTGAGCTAGCTACTGCTGCTTTTTTGACATTTGTTTTTAGGAGATGCTGTATTCCTCACTGTTAATGCCATTCTGAGGCCGAGTCTAGTGCCATTGGGCAGTAAGTAGAAGGGGTGAAGGGAAAGTCCTTACTATGGGGAAACACACACACAGCTATATGTGGCACACGGGGTAGAGGGAGAAGGGAAGTTACCCTTGCGCGATTGTGTCAGAGAGGAACTGTAGAGAGAAATATGCTGACTTTGTAGGGAAGTATTGTCATGGGGATACTACAGTTAGAAAAGCCCTGGCTGGTGAGACTCTAAAACTTAGTTTGACTGGGATCCAGTGGGTTTGGAAGATGGGTGGTAGTCTCAGCATGTGATGTCAGAACTGTTATGTTTAGCAGCTGTACTTCCATTATGCAGACAGCAGAAGTCTGAGTTACTTCTTGGAAGTATTTAAGAGTCTGAGAGTTGAGGAAAATAGGGAGAAATCTCAGGGAGAAGGAAGAAGAAGAAGGCCCTATACCTTTTTTCTAAAAAATACTGGTCACCACCAATCTGATGTAACCTGACTTTGGCCTCCAAACAGAAAGTAGCAACTTCTGCTAATAATAAACTTACTTGGGAAAATATTGTTTTTCCTTTCTGAAAACTTATGTGTAATAAGTATATGTGAGTAATTGCCAGGGCAAAATAAGCTAAGACTGTGAAGTTACAGGGAATGCTTGCAGATAGTGGAGGAATGTAGTTCAATTCACATGTGTCTTCTTGGAGGATCTTGGTGGAGAACATGGACACTGATTAAAAATGAGTTTGGAAGAGGAGAAAGACCAAAAATAAAGTCGTGTCTTGGGCAGAGGAAGAAGCAAATAGCATATACATTGGTTTCAAGTGCATTCAGGCTGGCAGCCAGGGACAGAGAAAGGGCTGCACAGAGAGAGCTTGCCTCATGCGCCTGCTGTTTTTCCTCTTCGTTTCTAGCCAGGATCTGCACAGATCCCAGAAAGGCAGTCCTTACAATAGTTGGCAATTCAGAAAACAGTCTTTTGGGGCAATAACAAATGAACAACAGGCAGAGCCACAGGTCTTGTTTTTAACCATAATTGATTTGGGCTGGGGGATGTTTTTTTTGTTTGTTTTTTGTTTTTTGCTTTTTTAGTCCACTCTTTGTGACATGGAAGACAGGGCGGGACAAGCGGCTTCGTGGCTGCATTGGGACCTTCTCAGCCATGAATCTTCATTCAGGACTCAGGGAATACACGTTAACCAGGTAATGCCACTAGACATAAGAACTGTAGATGAATTGCCTAGACTGGAAACAACTGCTGATTGTATTTCTGCTAAGTGATAAAGTTCGAGTGTTCCTTTTTTTGTAATCAGGAAATGCGGGGGTTTTATTCTGGTGAGTCACTTATCGGTTGAAGTATAGGCAGTTAATAACATCATATGGTTTTTAGCATATTAGTGCTAATGGCTAATAGATGTTCTTTGTATAACCCAGGGTTCATAGGGTTTCAAGCACACAAAGTTAGCACCTAACTCCAAAGCAGCCTCACTTAAATGTTTTCTGTCCCTCTCCAGTGCTCTTAAGGACAGCCGATTTCCCCCCCTGACCCGAGAGGAGCTGCCTAAACTTTTCTGCTCTGTCTCCCTCCTTACTAACTTTGAGGATGCCAGTGATTACCTGGACTGGGAGGTGAGAACAGCCGCATTTGGAACTCTGCATCTCTCGTTGCATTTGGGTTCGGGTTAGTACATGGTAATGTATCTCCTTCATTGAGAGAGGGTAGGAATGTGTAAACTGAGTTTGGAAGCAATTGTGGGCAGCACAAGTCACAGGAAAAGTGTTGTGATATTAGAAATAGGAAGAAATATAAATATATTCTCCTGTCTCTTCCCAGTCTACTCTGTTCCATATCCTTCACCCACATCTAGTAAAAAACAATAATGGAGATAAAGGAGAATGTTCCAGATCCCTCTTGGTAAGCCCTTGAGTAAGGAGTCATAAAACCAGATCAAAACCCAGTGGCATCTTCATTTAATGGAATAGATTAAAGGTGAATATTCAAAAGAACTATTTGAGCTACTGAAAGATTTTATTTCTATAATGATCATATAGACTCAAGCTGAAACATTTTTGGCAGCTATACCTCATAAAAACAAGAGATTCTCCCTTCTTCAGGCGTGGGTCAAGCTGATCAGGGGCAATGTCAATTTATATGTGAATGATTGACATTCCATTAAATAAGTTAATGCCATGTATTTGTTTGCATTTTTCTGCAGGTAGGGGTCCATGGGATTCGAATTGAATTCATCAATGAAAAAGGCGTCAAACGTACAGCCACATACCTACCTGAGGTTGCTAAGGAACAAGGTGAGTTAGACAAATGGAATTTGAGTGAACAGTAATATACAGTATTGCTAATTAAAGGGTAGGAAACTGGAATGTATTGTCCTGTAGCCCAACAACAACAGCAGTGCCTTTCTTCCTCTTAAGATCTATCAAATTCATATAGAATGAGAAATACACTCCCCAAAAGGTACAGGAGCTAGGAAAAGAGAAGAGATAAAGATTTCTTTTGTTCACCTTCTCCTTTACACTTAATTTCATTGAATAGTTGTTTCCTGGCCTGCAAAGCTATGGTGATAATTGTAGCAAATTCCAGCAGTGAGCTAGACTATATTAATGGAATTCACTGTGAAAAGAAGTTGATGAGGTTGGGTCTTTGGGTCATGAGTTATTAAATGATACTATATTTGGGGAGGAAAAAGCAAAACACAATCTCTCCTATCTTTTAAAGACAGCACTAGGTAAATTTTTATAATGGGCTATTAAAGAGAGTAAGTGGATTGTCAGGTTTTTTTCTTTAAGAATTATTTACAAGATACTGTTCATGTGTTGCTTATGCATTCATAATATGTAACCATTTTCTCTCTTTTTTGACTGGTTTTTTTTTTTTAAACAATATGTGAAACAAATAGTATTTGTTAGGTGTGAATCTGGAATAGAAGAAAAACATCCATTCCAGTATGCCAGTAAACAGTTTTGTGGAAGGAAGTAGTGTGGGTGTGGCTGGCACTAATTGGAAACCTTTTAACCATCTCTTTGAGGTCATAAACCTGACTTGTCATGTCTGTACTAGGAGGCACTCCATCAGTATTTTTTAATAGTGAGGTGTGATGTAACTTAGGTAAATTGATGAAATTCCTCATTTTTTGGCATCTGAACATTGGTTGGGAAAATTTAAAAAGTGGGGCACTTCTACAGTAATTTAAGAGATTACTGCTTTGGCTTTCAATTTGATGTGTTGTGTAACAATGACAATAACATATGCATATGCAGCTTTCCTACCCTTCCTAAAGGAACACTTTACTTCCTGCTACTATTTTTCTATACTAGATAGCACAACTCCTGGAAGTTATCAAAATGAAGGAAGGTCACACAAAGGAATACAAGCTGTAGAGTTTGTATTCTGTTTTCCCAAGGACCAGCCCTGGGGTGGGTACCAGCACTAAGTTAACCATCCAGTCTGCATTAGGATATGTGACAGGAAAGATGCAGGGGGAGAAAAACTGGGGGCAGCCATTAATGGCATGTGTCAGTATATTATTTGAGCTCGCAGAGATTCTACTTGGACTGTCATCAGTAAGGTAGATGGTGCTCCAGGAATGTGGCTATTGCCCAGGACCATTTCTGCCCCTAGCCAATTCAACTACTCTTCTCTAACCATGTTAGGACACATCCCACTCTTAAGTCCTGAGCCCTGACCTCAGTGTACCTCTTCTCCTCAGACTGGGATCAGATCCAAACTATAGACTCCTTGCTCAGGAAAGGTGGCTTTAAGGCTCCCATTACCAGTGAATTCAGAAAAACCATCAAACTCACCAGGTAAGCCACTATCATTTTTCTCGTTTTAATTTAGTTGGGATTGGATGGAGGATACTATTGATGGAAAGAGAAGAAAAAAAGTTTCTCTACTAATGTCCCTATACCAAAGAAGCCTAGGCAAGTGAGTTTAAGCTCCAAGGAAGCAGAGGCAGCAAAGACTCTGGCATGCCAAGCATCTCTGCAGCAGAGATGGTAGCAATGTTTAGGCTGTTGAGCAAGTCCTGGATGTCTTTGCCAGACTAACCCATGTGCTGGGAGGCTGAGTTGGGAGGTTGACGTCAGGAAGAGAAGGCTGTCAGTGCACGAGTCCAGAGTCATGATGCAGTCAGTGGCAGGGGATACAGGTGGCACATTAACAGAGTTTGGAAAATACTTTCTACAAATTACAAGAAACATCTCTGCCTATTTGAGGCAAATACTTCTCCAGGGAAACTGCCTGGTGTAGTAGATGCATGTAGGCTTGGGGTCTGACTCCTAGCTTCCCCACTTCCTAGCCGTGTGACCTGGGTCAGTTATGCTCCCTTTACTAGCCTGTTCCATGTCTGTAAAAAGTGAATGGTAATTCTTTGGGTTGTTTTAGGGTGCAGTAAGATGAAATGTATGAAACTTTTCTAGCCCAGGTTTGGGCAACATTGTAGGTGATCAGTAGATGTCAGTTCTCTTCCCATACCTATGGAAATGAGAGGTTTAACTTCTATGGGCTTCTGTTGGCCCCCACATCTGTAAAATGCTGAATAATCATATACTAACCTCACAGGTCTGTTTGGAAGATAAACCAGTGATTTTGAAATGCTTTGGAGTCCAAAAAAAAATCTTCAAATACAAAGCATTATATTATTATTATTATAATTTATTTGAACAGCCATTTCCCTGTCAAAATTCAGGAATAATCACCTTGCAGTGGAGGAGTGATTACAGTGGGAAAGAGATGGCTCTGGGTAAGGATTGTCACACCCAGCTCCTGTGGTCTGTAGTAGGCTCCATAGGTTTGTAACACCCCATGCTTCGCATCCTGACTCATGGCTCTTTCCAGAGCAAGGCCAAAGTGCTATGAATTCTGTTCTGATGACCCTGTGAAATGATATGGCATATTCATCTGGGAACTGAAACCTGTCCTGTGTAGCCCCAGGATCCTTTAACCTGCTTCATCAGAATTTGACTAGAATTAGGTATCTGTGCCCCCTTTGAGTTGTAAATAACTTATTTATTGCTTTTTTTGCAAATTAAGGTTGCATATCTGTCAATTGTATCACATTTTAACCCAAAAGTAGCTAAGCAGTTCACACTGGGCATTGGTGCAGCCATCTTCCAATCTGCCACCCCTGTAATTTGATCTTGAAATTGTTCATCTAGACCCCAGTAGCAGATTGCTTAAGAGCAGCCTGATAATAAGCATATAAGCATATGTAGTATTTAGAGGTGGGATGTGCAGAAAATTCATTCTCGGGGGTGAATTGTGATTGTGCTTTTTCATCTTGTTCATTTGTAATAACAACATTGTTTTCTTGTGCTGTCTTTCATTTTCTGTAAGTACGACTGCTCTTGGTCTTCCATTTTATTCTTTGATAATGTGGAATAAGCTTTTGGTTTTCTCTGCTGGCTTCACAAAATGGAGTGTTTCTGCTTCCTAATACCCTTTCCTGTTTCCTTATACAGGTATCGAAGTGAGAAGGTGACAATCAGTTATGCAGAATATATTGCTTCTCGACAGCACTGTTTCCAGAATGGCACTCTTCATGCCCCGCCCCTCTACAATCATTACTCCTGACACACGGCTGCATGACCAGTCCCACCCCCCTGTGGCCACCAATGGCTATGACATCATTGGAGCAGATGCCTCCTCTTCCTGGTCCAGTTACTTCTATTACTGCACCATTTTATGATGCTAGCTTCCGTTGCCAAGTCTGCCCCCAGCTGACTGAGGGAGGGGCGGGGTTATGTTGAATGAAACAGAACTTGAGGGGCCCAAGCCTTATCTCAGCCTTTCCTCAATATGGGGTTCCGTTGGATTGGGGCTCCTCCATGACTAGTAAGAATTACCTTACGGGTTCAGAAGACCCTTGGCATGCAGGTACCACTGGTGATTTGCTTGCTGCCTGTGTGTTGGCCTCACAATGGAAGCTGGAATTGATGATCCATGAAGGCTTACCCCACACACGTCCCTCCAGCCTCCCCAGATCAAGTAGGTGTATTCCCTTGGCAGTCTGGGCAACGGAGACCAACGAGAAACATTTTTAGGTTGTTCTAAATTCCTTTTTTTTAAACTTCCAGTTTATTGTGTACCAACCAAGAGTTGATCACAACCTCCATGCTTCTTAAGTGGACGCCATATAGGGTTGAGCGTGGGCACCAAGAGTCCTTTGAGGCTCCTGGATAGAGACCCACATCAAGATCGGAAGCCCTTTGGATGGCGTTGCAGATCTCATTGTTCAATTAACCTGGAAGGTTTTAATTCTCATCCCACTATAAGTTGGATTTTCTGGCACTCTTCCTGCATTGAGTCTCCTGGTATTGAACAGAGCTCTGTGGTGTAGCCTGCTGAGGAATGGACTGGGATGCCCATGGGAGGTCCTGATGTCATCGCAGCATGCAGTGTGAAAGGAGAGACCTCTTCCTTACCACCTGGCTACCTCACCCTCTACTGGTAGCAGTGCCTATAACTGGATCTAGGTTCTCAGAAGGCATAGATGTTAAAACAAGCACTTGGGTTGGGCTTTAGAAGGACATGGCATAGGAGAAAATCCAGGGTCTCCAAGCTGTTTCTCTTTTCAGACAAATATTCTGAGGGACCTTTAAGCAGAGAAGTTCCTATTTCTAATTTGTCTGTAGAAATGGGAAGACTGTTGATGTCTCAGTCCTTTATAGGACTTTAGAACAAAGCTCTGTAATTAAATAAGGTGAACCTTTATCTTGCCTAACTTGCTGGGAATCTTCACCCCACTAGGGCAAAGTCCCACATAGCTCATTTTATTCTAGGTCATTCAGACTTTTCATGTGGCATAGTTCCCTATTCCATTGTTGCTGATTCCAAATAGCTGTCAGCAAGTTTCTCCTCCCTCTTGCCTATTCTTCATTCATTTGGTTGTAAAAGTTCATAGAAGTTGAGAACTTGGAAGAAACTTTGCAAACAGGTGTCACAGGCACTGCCAAAATGATTCACAGGAAGACGTGGCCAGTTGGAAGAAAGGACCCTGAGGGTGATACACTGGTTTTCAGCCACATACTTAGAAAACTCTTGAAGTGATTGGGTGTCGACTCGGTGAACACAGTGTTTTAATTTATTTTGAAGTTTATGTGGAGATGGTGTGGCAGCAGATCTTGAGTTATTGTCTGCCCAGTATTGGGAAAAGGGGGCATGGTCTAAGAAATGACGCGCATGCTAGGCACTGCTATCTCATTTCTTAAAAGAATGAGCAGGTTTGTTTGGCAGCAACCATCCTGTACTATTCACAAGGATATTTGGGGTGTGCAGGTGAAATGGGCTGACATCAGGATGCCCAGCCTAGGCCACATCACCCCATCTTAACTGTTGTGCTGTGCTCTCGCATTTCCCTTGCAATATTAGTGGGGGTGGGGGGAAGCTTTTGAAGGTGGAGGGATTGTTTCATATCCTGCTGCTGAGAATAATAAATGTCTTGTACAAACAAATGTGATGACAGTTACTCTTAGGTGCCATGGATTGATGTCAGGGTGGTCAGCTCTGGACAAAACCACCCACCTCAAATTTGTACAACAGTATTGGTACATAGGGCTACACTCATTACTGTTCAAGTGTTCTATGTTAAAAGTTGTGTTTTAATTTCTAAAGATTTTAAAAAAAGCAAAAAAAATGGTGCTAAACTTTCACCCCTGAGCACGCTCAGTGAGACTGGCCACGCAAGCATTTACAGTGCCATGCTCTTCAAGCCTATTTTTTGCCCTATTTGTCTTCTCCAGTGTATAGTACGTTTTGTTTTGTTTTGTTTTTTTCCGAGGGTGGGGCAGGATAAACTGCCATTTAAAAACATGAACAGAAAAATTTTAAACCCACAAAATGGGGAGAAAAATCAGTGCACAAGAATCAGGCTGGTTAAGGCCAGCACCACACTGAAGTGGGCTCAGTGGTTTTGGAGTGAAGAAGCCTTACTCCCTGCACATTCCCTCATGCTCCCATGTAAGTCCAGCAATGGAGATACTCGAGTTCCTCCTCTTGTCAAGGGTACTCGGGAGTTGACCAAGGAAAACTGGCCCTATAAGGAATGGCATTGTCATTGTGCTGAAAGGGGCCGAGTCAGGAAGCAGCCTGGAAGTGTACAGTCATGGTCACCTCATGATGTGTGGCAGGTGGCTCTCAGGAAAAATACTAAGTCTGGATCATCCATGTGGCAGCTTTGCATGGGGAAATGACGGCTCCGAACTGGGTCCTAACTGCCTTCCATGTGCTCCACCGAGGCAGTGATGAGGGTGGCCGGTACATGTGAGTGGTAGTTTTAAAGAGAAGGGAATGTTTTCTGCTTTGTTCTTGGGCTGCTCAAGCTGAACAGTAGGTAGCCACTGTTTTGAAAGGAACCAGCCCAACTTGACTGGTGTGAATCGGAGTTCGTTTCATCCCTAGCTGTGAGTGCCTTTTGGTCTGGAAAGTTAGCTTGTCTCAATACCCACAGCTAGGACATTCTCTCCGTAATTATGAATTGTCCTTGTTTTACATTAAAAGAGAATGTCTTTGATCACTAGAGTTTGTTGGTGTTGGATTGTTTCCACTGTGAGGTTAAACTTTTTCGCTTCATAATATTAAAGCAATTCACGTTTAGAGACCCTTTCAACACGAAAGGTTTGTAGTTGAGATGTTATATATATTTTATTGTTTATATTAATCATCTATACAAAAGTCCTGGGTGTTAATTTTAATATTTGCACAAGATCTGTTTCCATGGTATGTTAACACCTACGATTTCACTAACTGTTGATGTTATTTTCTATTGAGATTCCAGAGCCTAGGGAGCTATATGTTTTTTGTTTTTCATATTTTTTTTTTTCTGAAGCAAGAGACTTTGTATGGCCTTCAGTGCAAAGACTTCAGACCAATTCTTTGTATTACACTTCGTTGCCTCTTGGCTATATAACTTCTGAGTGCAAATCATTGAACTCTTTAACAAAGTATTGTAGAGAATAAATCATAATGGGTAAAAGTTGTTCTTTGTCCTGTCTCTCTTTTCAGTAGTGGTAGTCATTTTGTTTTTGAAGACAACCAACCAGACAGTAGTCTGTCAACCCACATACTGCATTCATAGCACCCAGTAGCTTTGCTCTTATCTAATTTCTTGTGGTTGGCAGCACTGTGACTGTATTAGACTCCAGTTCTCTGAACTGGTATTCATGAACCTTTCAAATAGTGGGTTTTCTGGAAAAGAATGTTCATAGTTTGTGGGTCTGCCAATCCAAAGCTACCTATCCAGCCTCCATTTTGTTACCTACATATCTGTATCCCTAAAGCAACCCTACAAGGTGCCCAACCCTACAAGGCAGGTGCCTTTCACATCAAATAAGAGCGCCAAGTTGGATCACCCTGGGAAGGGTGTGCATTGTGAGGCATGCCTGGAATGCCTGTTCCCACTCCTGACAGAGGTAAGAAGGATAGAGGTGGTTGACTGATGTTTAACAAGGGGTCTCAGAAACTAATCAGTGGATAACCTTAGTAAGATTGAGATGCTGACTGGAGAATTAGGGTTTGATCTCAATTATATGTCAGCAGATGAAAAGTAGACTCAATTGCTAATAAAATAGATGACCTGTAATTCCACTTTTCCCATTTTCCTTCTATTTCCCCTGTCTCTTTTTTCTACTTCCCCTTAAAATTAAGTTGTATGATTAGTTTAGCAATAAAAAGACCAGGATATTGGTCTACAGCAGTATCCTGCCTTGTACAGTCTGCCCCACCAATCCTGTGTTTTGTTTTGTTTTTTTACCTGTGATGTTATTCTTCCCAGTGAAACTGACATTACCCAAGGACCTAAAACCTGAACATGGAAAAATGCTCAAATCTAAGGTATCTTTGGTAATGTGAATCCAAGAAAAAACCCTGAAACATGGTTTAGTCTGACCTAAGTGAAATGATTATGCTTTGGAGTGGCCCAGAAAGGGCGAGATGCATTTAGAGTAAATTGCAAGGAATTATTTTCCTTGCTTTTTAATATTTATGCATACAAGAACTGGGTATAGACCAGAAGTGCGGGGGGGTGAGAGGATTCACCAGAGACAGATTGGGGAACAGAACAGGCAGGCAGACTGAAATACACTGCTCAGGGGAGCAGCAAGTGAGACAGGAGAGGTCTGCCATGCCATGTGGGTCGCCTCCCTGGCAGGGAATTGAACTCTTGATGCAGTGGCTGTGGATGGCTTCATAATGCTGTGCTATATATATATATATATATATATGATATTAATTTTTACATCATTTTGTGCCTTTTTTCAATTTAGTTGTAATCCCCGTGGGCTTCCCATCACCAAATCACCAGTGTGCCTTCACCATAGTAGTGCTGCGCTTTAAACTTGCACCAGGAGCCCTCCCTGGTGACGCAACAGGTTAAAGCACAGCACTATGAAATGATCAGCAGCCACTGCAACAGAGTTTGATTCCAGGCCAGGGAGCTGACCCACATGGTGTGGCAGACCTCCTGACTTGCCCACTGCTCCCCTCAGCAGTGTATTTCAATTTGCCTGTTCTGCTCCCCACTCTGTCTCTGGTGAATCCTCTCACCACCCTTGCACCTCTAGCCTGTACCCCAGTTCTGCATAAATAAATCTTCAAAAAGAAATGTTGCATCACCAGGGAGAGCCCTCAAGGGATAATTTTTCAAATAGCCCTATATTAGGATTATCATCCTTCACTTTAAACTTTGATTTGCAAGTATGTGAAATTTTCTTAAGGATACCCAGTTCTAATCCTCCCACTTGACAGAACTTAAGCATATGGCCACTGGTAGACATGTTGTCAGAATTAGAGGGTAGGTTTGGAAATAGACTACAAGCAACTGGTTAAACACAGATTTTAGTGTAGTTTGGTTGACAAATTCTGTTTTTCCAAGAAAAGTGGTTTTAGAGATTTTTCTGTATTACATGTATAGAATATGGTAGTACAGATTACCTTTTCCATATTACCTATATTACCACCTGTGGTCTACACCATGGAATTCTATATCATTTAATTATGTTGTGTGATAAGATATAACAAAAGTTTGCCATTTTAACTGTTCCTATCGTCTTTTGAAGTCTTAAGTCATCTTGTAGGTGATCAGTGGTACTAATTCTTGTGAGACTGCAGTGTGGTAAATTCTCTAAAACTGCTTCCAGATAAATCTGTGGTCTGTGATCTCTGCTTGATCATCAGGCTTTGAAATACTATTCAGTGGCTAGTTGAAGGACTTGACTTTGTGTCAGTAGTCTGGTCTAGAGTCCAAGGACCATAAAGCCCCGAAGGCCATAAAGCAAGCCTTACTCTATTTCCATGTTCTAAAATGAAATGCCCTCCAATTTCAAATTATTGAAAGAGGGGGGAGGGAAGATAAAGGTGGGGGGGGGAGACAGATAACCCAAAAAGAAGAGAGGTCTCAAATTCACCCTGTTGATCACTCAAGTTCCTGCTGTCAATCAGACTCCCTCCCACCCCAGTGTGACCATTTCTAGGATACCCCCATGTCTGATTACTCATGAAAGAAGTAACCCAGAATAGTTAACACCAAAATTCACGGTCTGTTAGTCTTAATAGGCTTGAGCTCACATCGTGATCTCCTATTGAGTCAGCCTGAGCTGAATTTCCTGCCTGTGAATCTCAGGCAGCCTTTTGGAAATGCTTTACCCAAGCCCCAGCAAGTGGTGCAACAGCTGGATAACTATTTGGTGGTCATCACTATTAGGTGTAGATAGGAATTACTGGGCAAGGGGCAAAGGCTCCAGAGTTCTTCACTACTCTGAGCACATAGGAGGTGGCATAATTGGTGTAGTCTTTCCAATCAAGACAGACTTCTTCTCCTGTACTAAGTCCAAGCAAGCTCTTAAGAATGGACTTCTCGTGGCCCTCCGTGGTGGTGCAGCAGGTTAAAGCACAGCACTAAGAAGCTAAAGCCACTTCAGCATGAGTTCAGCCCCTGCCCCGGAGGTGACCCACATGGCACAGCAGACCTCACCTGACCACCCACTGTTCCCCTCAGCAGTCAATCTGCCTTTTCTGCTCCCCATTTTGTCTCTGGTGAATCCTTTCACCGCAACTGCACCTCTGGCCTGTACCCCAGTTCT